CCATCGAGTTGGACGACGACTTCCAGGCGGGAGTGGGTTCAGAGGCTGGCAGCGTAGAAGCTTCAGGGGGTGGAGTAGTCGCTACCGTAGCTCAAAAAGGTAAGGCGACCGGTAGATGCCGTGGAGGTTCCCGGTCTAGGAGTTAAGTTGACCCCAATGCTCCTCCATGGGAGAAAGTGGGTCTCAGTGAGGACGTGTGGAGAGATCGGTACACGTGGCAGGCTTGTATCCGTTGTGGCCAATACGGCCATAACCAGTTCAAGTGCCGAAACAAGAAGGTGACCGAAAAGATCCCGCCTACGATGGGGCAGGCGTTGGGATCCTCCACTCCCGTTCGCAGCAATGTGGCCAGCAGTTCTGGCACTGCTCTGGGAAACGCGTCGGGCCAGTAGGAATAGTAGCTGTTCCTGCTAGGGTCGAGGTGGTGGACACACCCTCACCATCTCAAGAAATGGCCCAAGCTGCTGACTCCATCGTCGTTCCGCAAACACATTCAGACCCATTGAGCCTCTGTTCGATGAATGTGTTTGAGTCCTTCGAGGAGCTAGAGGAGGAGTTGTCTAGATCAGACCCACTAGCTTCTTGGACGGCATTGGCTAAAGCCCCTGAGGGAGAGATGTTCGTCGGCGAGGTAGTCATCGGCGGCCGCAAGGCCGGGGCCTATTATGACACTTGCTTGACAAGGAACTTCATTAGTCGCATGTGTTGAGAGATTGCGCTTACATGGGCGAGTGCAGCGCCTGAGTTGACCTATGGAGTCGACCTGTGCCAACAAACAACTCATGGTAGTTAATGACTACCTCCAAGATATTGAGTGTTGTTTCCTGTACGCGGAAGGGGAACTGAGACATCGCGTCTCGTTCCTAGTGAGCGATGATCTCCCTATGGATATCTTGTTAGGTATGTACTACCTCTCCGTGGCACAACCCCAGTGTGACTGAGGCCAAAAAGTGGTCAAACACACTTTGCCAGGTGGGGGGACCGCCACATTACGTAAGTTTAAGGCTAGTAGTTTGATCGAGTCCTACGGATGCATGTGTGCGGCCGCGTTCTGCAATTACTATAAGCAAAATCCGGAGGAGGGTATGTATCTAGTATATGTCTCTGCAGCAAGCAAGCCGGTGAAAATGCCGCTGGAGATAGAGCGAGTAGTTGCCCAGTACCCTAATTTTTTGAAGAGCCTACAGGGGTTGTTGAGAGGGAGGTCGTCCACGCGATAGAGATTATCCGTCTAGCATCCCGAAGGTTAGGATCTATTGGATGTCTCCAGGCGAACTTGATGAGCTTCGCCGACAACTCAAGGAACTCGTGGAGAAGGGTTGGATCCAGCCGAGTGTCTCTACTTGTGGTTCTCCAGTCCTATTCGTACCAAAGAAAGGGGGCACTCTGAGAATGTGCATTGACTACAGGGGCCTCAATGCCATCACTGTCAAGAACCGAGAGCCCCTACCGCGCATCGACGGCTTGTTAGATCGAGTGCAAGGGTTCCGGTACTTCAGTAAGATAGATCTGAAATCCGGTTACCATCAGATTGCAATCTGGCCCGGGGATCGACATAAAACCGTTTTTCAGACCTGGTACGGTCTGTACTTGCTTAATGAAATAGGTTTAATCGAAAAATGCCAGTTAATTTAAATAAATTTTAATTTTGGCAAAAATTAAATATTTAATTAAAGAATATTTAAATTAGCTAAAATTAATTTTGGCAAACTTTAAATATTTAATTAAAAATATTTAAATTTGCAAAACTAAAATGAATAAAGTTTAAGCAAGATTTAAACATTTAAACATAATTTTAATTAAATAATTTTATGAAATTTAATCGGGAGAATTTAGCATCATTACGAGGTCATGAAGTAAGTAGAAGGTCAATGGTAGTAGGAAGATACACAATTTGTTGTAAAGATCCAACCTTTAGTCGCCAACAGATGCGATTTGCAAAAAGTGAAAGTTCGTGAAGTTGCAGTTTGAATATGGCCATGCTCAGGCCCGATCTGCCTTGATTGGCGCAGTGCCTGGCTGGCACTTACTTCTCATAGGCTTGATAGGGCGTTAGCTCAGGTGAGGGCTAACCCTAATTAGCGCTAATTAGGTTAATCGTGATTAGCGATTTCCTTAATTATGCGCTGGAGAAAACCGCCAAACCTAAAATTTGAATTCAGACGACCTAATTAACTATGTTAGTAGAAAAAACGAGAAAAAAAAAATTTGCAACTTGCGATTAATGATAACAGAGTACAGGTGTAGATAATCTATCAATCAATCAATCAATGGTGAGTCATCCAATGCTGGTCTGCTCCGATACCAAACTGTTGCATACTCGTGAAGCACAGTCATAAGTATGGCGCAGATTCCCAGAACCGACCAGATAATACAAAGTAAATACAAATACAGCGGAAGACTTGAGATACATGGATTGACTAGGACCTGACTCAGATTGCAACGAAACACTCAAAAACATACATTGGTGCTGTGAAGCCCTGGCCTTGAACCTAGAAGAAGAGGCAGGGGGCAATGCTCATACACGGATGAATGGGGGGAGGAGAGACGAAGGGAGGAGGAGAGGGAAGATGACGTAAACTCAATATTTCCAAAGATAGTATCCTGAAATGTCAAGAGTAGCGCAAATCCGAAATGTCGCAAACATAGAGTCTCACAGTGTCTCAGATATCGATCTCACAATGTCAAGGTACATCTTCAGAGGAAGACGAAATCAGATCCCAAGAGTAGTCCTCAACTTACAATCTGAATGTCGCTGTCTCCAATATCATCAGAACTCGTAACCATCCTTCATACTCGTAGTAGTCCGTAGGAGAACCCAGGAGTAGACCTAGACTTAGAAGGTAGGAGGAGAGGGAGTGAGAGAGAGAGAGAGAGAGAGAGAGAGAGAGAGAGAGAGAGAGACAGTGGCGGAGGAAGAAGAGGGAGAGAAGGCAAAGCCTTTCTCCCTAGTACCTGATCCGGTAGCTATGGCGCTGCAGAAGGCTGGCGCTGGGCCGCGGGCTGGGCCGGTGGCTGGCACTGTTCCAACTGCTGCGCTGATTCCTCCTCGCCGTTGTGCTCGTTCTCTCCTCGCTGCTCATGCTAATGTTGCCGCGCTGCGCTAATCCTGCTAACGCTGAAGTGCTGCGCTAATCCTGAAGACTAACGCGTAGACTAACCTCCTGTCTCTACTAACCTACCTGACTGAGGCTGGTACCCAGCTTGTGTAGTGTTGGGTCGGCCTCAGGCCTACTGAGTGCCGTCGGGTCTGGACCGTTGATCGGGCCCAATGGTTCAGATCCGATTTCGAAATCTGAATCATTGGCGCCTAAACTGCGCCGCCGGCCGGTCCTACCGATGGACTGGTACTTGGCCTCTCCAACTAGCCCTTGGGTCTGGTGGGGTCTAAACGAGGCCTATCGGACCCTAAATTGAACCGACGGTTCCTAGGCCTACCTTGACCTATCTGGGACCGTCGTGACCCGGTACCTAGGCCTAAACCGTGCCTACTACAAAACCGGGCCCTAACTGGGGCCCGTGTGGTATCAGTATGCCACAACCTCATTCGGTTGGGCCTCCCAACTGTCTGTGCATGAGGCTGCGAATCTCGCCCAGGGCCTGCGCTTTCGGAAAAGCCTAGAAGGCCGTGGAATTTCCTCGCTGCTCGGCCTGTGTTTTCTTCAACCAACTGGCACGACGAAACTGCTTGGACCCCAAATATGAAATTGACCCGCCTTCACTTAGGACGGGCGTAGATGCAACAGGGGCCCCTTAGGCCTGCCGAGGACCCAAATCCTCGCATTCCCTCCTCCTTCACTTCGATAGTCCTCTGAGAAGGCTGCTTCCCTTTCAACTTTCTCTTGTAACTTGAGATAATTTGGGGAGCAGTCTTCAGTAATTCCTCTTTTGTGAACCACCGGTTTTCTTGAGGATCAATGTGATGTCTGAACCGCACTCGGTATTGCATCTGTGGCTTTGGCGGTCGACCCCTTTGTTACATGCCCAGTTGGGCGATGTACATATAAAACCAAGGATCCGCAATGTGATGAAAAGGACTGAATGGACAATGCAGTGCTAGCGAAATCTGAACAACCAGTGTACATTCTGATACATACAAAATGGTGTTTTATAGCGCAGTGGAAGAGTTAGATACAAGTCCTGACCTGACCGAGACTGACCTCTCTCACGTAGCTCAAGACAGCGGAGCAGAATGCTAGAATACCAATGACTTGCCCAATCAATGTCGCAATACTGACCAAACATACATCAGCCTTATCACAAAGTGTGAAGGGGCCTGGCGCTACACACAGGAATATGGCGCCAGGTCCAAACCATGCACAAACGAAGAGGAGGGAGACAAACGAAGACGAGGAGGGGGGAGATGGGAAAGTCATCAACACCAAATCTTCGTTGCAAGTCCCAAATAATCCCTCGTCAAAATGTTTGAAGCCCAAAGTCGAGTCTGGATCCAAATGTCACCAAGCTCTCTCTCTCTCTCATAGTGTACTGATGCAGTGAAGTCAGGTAGCGAGAGGGTGAGAGGAAGATGGTGGACTGAGAAGAGGAAGAAGAAGAACTCTCTCTCTCTCTCTCTCTCTCTCTCTCTCTCTCTCTCTCTCTCTCTCTCT